TTTAAACACTTGACCCTCTAACACTTGCACTATTCATTCGTTCTGTAACTGCTTGTTTTCTTTAAAAAATAGCCTCTAACAATAGCTTTCTCTATTATTTTTCTATTCTATCTACTTGTTTTCTTTTTATTTATTATAAAAAATGACCCTGTGACACTCTATCTATCTATCTATCTATCTATCTATCATCTAAAAAATAAAAAAACCTTGCTAAATGTACTGCGTCAAGCTAACCTAGACTTGGCATACAGCACATATTATTGCTCTCTTGTTATTGTTTTTTATTTTTGGCGTTTTATGCCTGCTCTTTTGTTGGTTTTTGATTGCTTCTATTGTCCTCATTTGTAAGTCGCTTTGGATAAAAGTGTCTGCTAAATGACTAAATGTAAATGTAAAATGAACAAAAATGCCCCTCAAAGTAGGGGTGGGCGATTTGGCAAATATCATATCACAATTTTTTTTTTTTTAGAAATCTCACTATTCATGATTTTATCATGATTCTTTGTCATGTTGGTTTTACTATTTTGCAAGTTGTCTGAGAATAACAGCCAAACTAATTACCCTATTATAAAGACAAAGCCTTTCCAGGTAACAAAATATAAAAAAGAATGGCAGATATTTAGGCCAAAGTGGGCAAAGATAAAAATCTTCATGTCATTACTTTATCTTTATTAAAAAATGAGAACAAAAATACTCATTACAAATACACAATATACAAATAAAAAAAACTGTGTTTAATTTTCAGGTACAATAGTTGTATTTAGCAGGAGCATTCAAGAAATGGAATGAACAAATATTAAAATAAAACGCTATATAGATTGATTCCTATTAAAGCAACCGTATTAAAGTTTTTCAGTCAAGAGTAGTGAGTGATTTTTCTCTGTTTTGTTGTTTTATTAACATTTAAAGGAATAATTCACACAAAAATAATTTTTATACCATCATTAACTCATTCAAAAGATGTTTTAAACCTGAATGAGTTTCTTTCTTCTGCTGAACATAATGCTATTTTGAAGAAGGTGGAAAACCAAACAGTTGGTGGTCCACAGTGACTTCCATAGGATTTTTCTCCCTACTATCAAATTCAATGTGGACCAGCAACTGTTTGGTTACCCACATTCTTCAAAATATCTTTTGTGTTCAGCACAAGAAAGAAATTATATACAGGTTTGGGACAACATGTGAGTGAGCAAATAATGATAAATAATTTTTGTGTGAACTATCCCTTTATTGGCAGTCGGCAGCATGTTTAGTTCTGTCTCTTTAAGAGCTGCATGCATCTAATATACAGGCACTCATCCATTTCTCTTAACTGTTTACTTTCACTTTAGACATAACCAACTGAGTCTATATGTAAACCTTGTGTGTTGGACAGTATTAGCGCAAAAGAGAACTTGGTTCAGTAATCAGGCGCTGTTTGACAGGGTTTTTAGTGCGTTCACTTCGTGTTCACGCTCCGAAAAAGCGCACGTCAGAACAGCACGCAAATGAAATATTTAACCGGCAAGGCTTTAAATCACATACAAATAATGTACTTTTGTGATTGTGAATAAGTGCAGTGACCCATGATTGTAACTCTACTGCTGAGTTAACACTGATGTGAATGTTTGTGGCGTTGCATATTGATACGGAGGCACCAGAACTGCAGCTGATAGATTGCGCGCTGTAGCACCATACTACTATATTTCTTCAAAAGAAGACCGTGGAATCAAAAATAATCACATCGGACACCCCTACCCCAAATTCAAGATATGGGCCAAAAAATGCCTCTGCACAATTAACCTGAATCTGCTATGGCTGTTGTGGTTAAAGTGTAATGTAAAAGTGAGTGAAAAAAGTGATTGCGGCATTACCTTTAGATCTGCTCACATTGCATTTTGAGGTTTTATGCATTGTTTTTTTTTTGCAATGTTGAGCATTATAACCATCACACTTGTATTTAAGTGCATGAATCTTTATGTAATTTATTATTGTGTTCGTATTTTATCTTGCTTAGGTGCCATGAGTGATGAAGAACAGTCAGAGGAGGAAGAAGAGGACCGAGAGAATGGAAACCACATTCCTCCCAGTGAGCATTTCATCAACAGTGCTTTATTTTTTGTGATTTTAAAGCTTTGCTTTGATATGATATTCTAGTGTTGTCAAATATCTTTCACATCAGTCTGGTTGTGCTGTGTCGTGTTGTTGTGACAGTTCCAGAGTCCCGGTTTGATCATGACTCGGAGGTGAGCGGTGAGGAAGAGGAAGAAGAGGGAGCCGAGGAGATAGGAGACGTCACCCCACAGTCTCCCTCTCATTCAGCCACTCCAGAAGACAACTACGTCCCCGAATCACCGCCCATCTCACCTGTAGAGCTGAAGAGAGAGCTGCCAAAATACCTGCCGGCTTTACAGGTACACTCACTCGCGTACACCTGTTTGCTTACTAGGGTTGCAACTAGGCATGGGCCGATTACCCGTTTCAAGGTATACCGTGATTTGAATATTTCACGGTTTCAAAACCGCTAATATTTTCAGTTATACCGTTCCTGTGGTTTGCGCTGTTTTTCATGTCTCCTCAAAGACTGAAAGTGTAGGAATCCCTCGGGTTGAGTGCAGTGTAGAGAGTAACACGAGCCTCCTCCTGTTGGTGCGAGCGAGCGGTTAAGGAGCTTCCCCTGGAGCTTACGCGATCGGCAACCGACTGTTTTTTGTCTTATTGCAAGCAACTCGTCTCTGTTCTGGACTTGCACAAACTGTGTTGCAATGCAATAGTTTTCCAAAATGTAATTTATGTGAAAATATGAAGTCTGAAAACGCCCGTTAACACAGGCCAGAGACGTTGAAGACGGACGGACGCACAGAGAAAAATACTGTAGCTCACTGTTCATGATGCACAAACTATTGGAAGAAATTCCTCAATATTGATTTGGGTGTTTCTGAGGGGAACTGACTGTGTTCAGAACACTTTACGTGGTATTTTCTTTTAATCTCGTCTCTGTATAGTTCATATTAAAGCAGTGCTTTGTTTACAGCGGTAACCAAGGAAACGCTGTATCTGGTGTTCCATGAGCGCCTCCTGCTGTCAGAGAGAGAATCTGCGTCTCCCCCTAATATATATGAATTATATAACTAAAATTAAATAACTGTAATTACAGATTTTAAATAAATAAAGATGTCAGTCTTTATTTTTCTTCTTTTTAGGAAACAAATCAAAGAAAAAATTCTACTGTTCCTAATATTCTGTATGTTGCTCAAAAACAATATATTGTGTTCAGCGGAAAAAGCGTGTTCAGTTTTTTTTTTTTTACCCAGTCATTTAAAAACAACACATTTTAGAGCTGTAACGACAATACCGTGATATTTTTGCTTCAGGTTATCATACCGTCAATGTCATACCGGCCCATGCCTAGATGCAACAATACAGTTAGTCCATGGTTCAGTACGTACCTCTGTTTTTAACCACGGTTTTCGGTTCAATTCTGATAGCTTGGCACATCAGTGTTTTTTGCAAATTAACAACAAAAAAACTCCTGTAAACCTCTGCACACTGGAAAAAGCATGGATTATTATGTCTGCCTAACATTTCTTTTGAGAGAGGTATTTTTTTTACATTTAGAAAAACTTGTTTATCACTTTCGAGTCCATGAGTTCGCCTACCAGTGGTATGAGAGGAGCACAGCTTTCACTCTCAACCAAACTAACATTACTAGCCAGAGATGGGCACTCGCATTAGTGACTCGGACATTTTTATAGACTTCAGACTTGACTTCGGACTCGAACTGAAATGACTCCAGACTTGACTCGAGGAAAAGGACTCGTGAATATTTTAAAAGCAACTCGAGTCTTTTATCCTTAAATACTTGTATAAATGATTTTCAAAAGGCGGACCGCATCCGCACCCCGGCATCCATCAGAATTGCGAGCCGTAACACAGCACCATTTTAACCCTCATGTGGTGTTCGGGTCCTTTGCTCTGAAAAATGTTTCTTTTTCCCGAAAATACTAGTTAATGTTATTGCATTGGACTGAAATTTTGTGACTTTGTTCACAAAGGGTATAACTACTTCTAAAAAAAATTGATAATTTTCATACTTTTCTGGGGGAGATTTTTCACCGAATAAAAAGAAGATATAACGTTAAACGTTTTGAATGATGAAATGTAAGGACAATAAACACTCGCCTGCGACAATATATGGAACACATCTGTGTTCTTCAAGCCATCTCTGGTATTTTCATAATGATTAAGTATATTTGTAAGCCATTTCTAATCGACATAGCTTTTATTACAGTATATAATATATTTTCTGCCTCATTCTGTGATAAGAAGCCACATCAGGAAGTTATTTCAAACACTCGATTAATGTTGTGAAGTAAAAACAAGTTATAATGTTCTCTGTTGTTGGACAACAGGTTTAGACACACACACACACAGCCAATTCTGAGAGAAATAAAACACACGGATATTATTTAAACGCAAAACCAAAAAAACGCAGTTCATAAGCGCGTATTGAACCGTGGATGTCGTACCGATCGGTTCGATATTATATTGAGAATGGCAAGCATCCCTACTGCTTTCGCGCTCACTCCAGCGCAGGTGTGTGAGCTGGTGTCCCGCTGTGTGCAGGGCTGCCGGAGCGTGGAGGAGTTCCAGTGCTTGAACCGCATTGAAGAAGGCACTTACGGCGTCGTCTACCGAGCCAAAGACAAGAAGACTGATGAAATCGTGGCCCTGAAACGACTGAAGATGGAGAAGGAGAAGGAGGGCTTTCCCATCACCTCCCTCAGAGAGATCAACACCATCCTGAAGGCCCAGCACCCCAACATCGTCACCGTCCGGGTCAGAAACACTCTAGCCTCTACTGTAAACCCACAGCTGTGTAAAAATATCTCTGGTCAGGGTTTCCGCAAAGGTTTAATTCGCCCTTCCTCAATTTAAGGCCTTAAAAAAAGCTGAAAAGTCTGAAATTCAGGGCATTAAATGTTGCATGCATTGCAAGCATGATTATTTCAAAAATTGAATGAAGTGAAAATGAAGAGAGTTTATGTTTTAAACAAGAACAAATATCTGCCAGTTGGGGTATTATGAAAATTTCCCTTTGGTTTAAGTTGAAGCTGAAACCATTGGCAGATATTTGTTCTTGTTTTAATCATAAAAAAATGTAATCAGAGACTTGTCCTTTTGCTTCTCAAGTAAATGTATCTTGATTTAATTTGCGCTGCATGCAACTTTTGAAAATAATAAAAAAAAATGAATTAGTTAAAACGTAATGGAGATCTGTTGTAAGTTGTGCTTTCATTGCTAATACAAGACATTTACATTTAGAGACCATATTGATTCTTGTATTCCCTTCAGTTTATTCCATGCATTTTCTTTATTTGATCTTAAAATCTTAAATTCATAAAACCTGCTGAAACCCTGACAATTTCACTTTTGGTGGGTTTAATTATTTAATAGCTTATACATACTTAACACTAATTATTTTAGATGTTATCCTGTTATAATGAACAGGATTTTAAATGGCTTCCCATTAATGGTGTGTTTCGGGTGTCGCTGATTCTCTCCTGCATGTGCTTTTTGCCTGCTGTAGGAGATCGTCGTGGGCAGTAATATGGATAAAATCTACATTGTGATGAATTACGTGGAGCATGATCTGAAGAGTCTAATGGAGACCATGAAACAGCCCTTCCTGCCCGGTACGACCCTGACCGCACTAAAGCATACTGAATTACTCATCCTTGCCTTAATGAGGCGCTTCACTCACATCTCTTCTGTTTCCTGCGCAGGCGAGGTCAAAACGCTGATGATCCAGCTGCTGAGAGGTGTCCGTCATCTCCATGACAACTGGATCCTTCACCGTGACCTGAAGACCTCCAACCTGCTGCTGAGCCACAAAGGCATTCTAAAGGTCAGTCATCGTCCGCTGAATTCACGGGTTACACATCGCCAGTGTTGGGGAAAGTTACTTTTAAAAGTAATGCAGTACAATATTGCGTTACTCCCTTAAAAAAGTAACTAATTGCGTTACTTTTTATGGAAAGTAATGCGTTACTTTTTTAAATCTGGGCAGGGCTTGCTTGTTTGGTTTTAGTATAAAAAAAGTTATTATACAAATGTAAAAGCCCTTTCACACCAAAAGTGAAATGAATACGCCTCAGGCTGAAGGAGTAAATGCATGTTCATATTTAGTCTAGAACTACAGTAAGATCATGTTCACACGATTTCTCTCCACATGGCAACACAAGAGCTGTCAGCCAATAAATGGGAAACAAAGTAACTGGTGTTACTTATTTGAAAAAGTAACTCAGATATTTCCTTCTAAATTAAAAAGTAATGCGTTACTTTACTAGTTACTTAAAAAGTAATCTGATTACATCACTCGCAGTACTTGTAATGCATTCCCTCAACACTGCAGATAGCAGCTTGTTTGTATAATCAGCTGCGCAGGGTGTTATATGTATTGCTCTACTAGTAGTGTTCTTTAATGATGTGTGATTTGGAAGATTAACTGAGATGTGACTGTGTTTTGTAGATTGGAGACTTTGGTTTGGCTCGAGAGTACGGCTCTCCGCTCAAGCCCTACACACCTGTGGTGGTCACTCTGTGGTACCGCTCACCTGATCTGCTGCTGGGGGCAAAGGTCAGTGGACAACTCTGGCATGATGTTTGTGGAGCCAGTGTTCAGGCACTCAAAAATAATCATTCTGAAGAAGTGTTCATTTGTGTACAGATTAGGGGTGTGCAATATATCATCTACGATAATATATTTTAACAATGTGCATTCTAACATTATCAAATATATCGCAAAAACCAGACAAAAACACACCCAGAGTGTGCGCACATACACATGATGTAGGTTAGACCAGCGTTTCCTAATTAAATAATGTTTACATATGTATAAAAGCCTACATTACAATCTGTCATATAAATTGGTCTCTTCATTAGAAATTAGCCTACTGATTGCCACCATTGATGGACAAAATTTTTTAATAATATTAAAAATATCTGTATGACATTATATTCTGCAGTTCTTCCCTGCTGTACCGAATATCTATACTTTTCAAATTATCACATCGAAGTTAGAAATTCAAATATTGTGAAAAAATTTTGTAGGGTGTCACAAGTTTGTTAAAATTTCCAAAGGGTGCCGTGACTAAAAAAAGGTTGGGAAACACTGGGTTAGACTACTGCATTCACTGTGTGATTCAGTGTATTAAAATACTCCTCCAAATTCAAGATGTGGGGCGTAAATGCCCTTGTATGACTGTTATGTCTTTTATATTTATATCATCTGATAAAGTTGATAACACACAAAGAGTGCAGTTTTTCTCCAAATATCAGCACGATTGCAAATGTGATATTGATTTTATACAACAGTTCAAAAAACAAGAAGTTAATATGAAGTTACAAATTCCTGTTTTTGCTGTATTTCACCAATGAAAATAGTTTCAATTTCAAACAAAGCCACAGCAGAACTGTTTTGCGTCTCTGAGCAACACATGATGGTGTTTCGTTACTGAATCGATCAGCTGTTTAAATGAATCAGTTGAATGCATGACTCAATGACTCTTGGCCTTATACATTTTTTAATTGATTTTTACCTTTTATGAGCATTTTAACTTATTGGAAAAGCTCATTTCTGATAATCCTGCAAACAAATCACCACCCTGAATATGAAGAATAGCCAAAGCTCTTGGAGTCAGCTGTCCACAGCAGTCCTGTTAAATTACCAGCACAATAACACGCTCCGCGAAATATTGTCTAATTATCATTATCGACAAAATTTCAGAAAATATAGGGAGATAATTTTTGTCATTATTTCACATCCCTACTACAGGTAGCAAATATTGGGTTCCCACCATTTTTTGTTCTAGTTTTTAACAAAAACTAGGGATGTCCCAATCAGGTTTTTTGTCCCCCGATCCGAGTAATTAATCTGCTGATACTGAGTCCAGATCTGATACTTGTATATTCCTATAGAAATGTATGTTTGGTGCACATACAAATACATTAAAGTTATTAAAATCAATCCAATGCATACAGAGTTGTGCAGAGAGTAAAAGTTCTATATGTGTATATATAATATAAAACGGTATATAATTATAAGACACACTCTCTCTCTATGCACACACTATATAAAGACATTGGTAGATGTAAACATGTTACAATGGTAGACGTTGTAAACAGACTGTGTCGTCACAATTATGAATATGGGACTGCTGATATAAAATTCTTGTATTTATTATGTACAATAAGCAGAATAATTACAACTTAAGGTTAGAAAGCATGAAGCTTGCTGTGTCAGAATGCCAGTCTATCAGTCAAATCCGAAGCCGCCTATAGCAACGCGTTATGACAACGATCGTCACAAAAGTGCGCATCAAATACACTGAACACAGAAGCTCATACGTGTGTGACGCACTAGAACAGATCTCACTTTTTCTCACGCATCACACACATTTGAGCGTCTTTCCATTTAATGGCGGTTAGCAAACCCACCTAAAGGCGCACACCGCCACCTTCTGCACATCACTGGTATTACAGTTGACGTAAATTAAGGATCGGGATGAGGAGAGCCGATACCGATCAGTTAAATTGCTTGATCGGCCCGTTCCTTGAGATCGGCTCGGGACATCCCTAACAAAAACGTTTAATTCTTTTAAGACGGACCTGCCGTGAGCTCTGAGATTAAGCAATAAATTATGAATTGAATTGAAGTGCACTCTTTTTTCTCTTTCATCTGTCTGTTGCTGTTCATAATTAATCTCAGAGCTGGTTGGTTTGGTTCAAGATGTAAAACTGTAAAATCTTTGTTTGACCCTCTAATTGTAGCACTGTCTATTCTAATTATTTTATATATTTGTTTTCTTTTTTTTATTAAAAAAAAAACATGACCCTTTAAGACTCTTTTTGTTTTCTAACTGCTTGTTTTCTATAAAAAAACCTCTAACACTAGTTTTCTCTGTTCTTTTTCTATTCTATCTGTTTTCTTTTTATCTATTATATAATAAAAAATAAAAAAAACCTTGCTACGTGTACTGCGTTAGGCTAACCGAGACTTGTCATGGCACTTGCGTATCGTTGCTCTTTTGTTGATTCTGATTGCTTCCATTGTCCTCATTTGTAAGTCGCTTTGGATAAAAGCATCTGCTAAATGACTAAATGTGATGTAAATCTGGTGATAATGGTGGACGTTTGATCTCGCTCATGCTCTGTTGAAGATGTTGCTCACTGGGCTGTGGATAAACTCCAGTGTTTTGCAGTCATGTCAGCTTGTTTGAGTCACGCTCGTGTTTCCTCCTCTCAGGAATACTCCACAGCTGTGGACATGTGGTCGGTCGGCTGTATATTTGGAGAACTGCTCACGCAGAAACCTTTATTCCCTGGCAAATCCGAGATTGATCAAATCAACAAAGTTTTTAAGGTATGCTTCATCACATCCTGAATGTCTGAAGAGTCAAATAAACCTTTTTTTTTATTCATTCTGATAAGCAATATTACCAGCTCATCAGGAGGAATCACTTAACATAAATGCATTGCTCATTTACAGATCTTTCCATAGATTTTGGAGCAGAAATGTCCATGTATCTATTCCATTATAGCTGCAAACATGAAATGCTGTCCATCTTGTATAGTATGCCATATATCGGATTAGTGCAGCCCAAACCTACTGTTTAATGGGTGCCCAGATGGTGCAGTATATACAGTTATTGAATGCTTGAACCTAAGAGTGAATTCATTTTAAAGTCATATTAAAGTGATGAGTTTAGCTGTATGCAGATGGATAATCGATAATGTCTGTCAGTGTCGGTGAGGACTGTGGTGTCGATCGACCCAGTTTTTTAACCTGATAAGAGCCAGTACTGGCATGAACCAATCATAAATTTAATCTTACTACATTCATTTATTTCACTTCAGAATTCTAGATCTAATAACCTGTAGATCCAATAACTTACCTGATTTTGTGCGCCACACTTTAATGACCGCTTTAACTTGTCCATGCTGGTGAGTGATGACTGTATAAGTGGGATAATCACAGCTAGTGTGCGTCAAAGAATCATCGAACGGGAATTATGCAAAATAATTTATTGGTGATCTCTTTGTAAAATCACAAAGCGATTACCAATAAAATCATTGGTAGTTTGGGTGGGGATTCATGTAAAGAAAAGTTGGTCAAGGGAATTCACTGTTGACTCTGAAAGGGCCAAAACACATTAGATGGACTTCCAATTTACAGTACTGCTTATGAAGCCTTGGGAGCTGAAAAACAATAATGGGAAGAGGCGTTACATTTCCAGCACACGCTGTAAGCGTTTGATCAGTAACAACAGACTGGGCCCGCTGACCAATCAGAGCAGAGTTTTTCAGAAAAGCAGGGTGAAAAGAGGCACTGCAGCAATGTACACCGAGACAAATCATGTGTTTTGAAATATAAATCATGTAAATGTGTTCTTGCAGACCAAAAATAGAATAATGAACTTGTAAAGTAGTATAATATGGTCCTTTTAAACATTGAATGGTACTGGAGTACATGACATGACATGGCCTTAAACCTTGGTTTTGATTGTCTCTCTTCCTGTGTGTGTGTGTGTGTGTGTGTGTGTAGGACTTGGGCTCTCCCAGTGAGAAGATCTGGCCGGGATACAGCGAGATGCCTGCGGTGAAGAAGATGACTTTCACAGAATATCCCTACAATAACCTGCGCAAGCGCTTCGGAGCACTGCTGTCCGACCAGGGCTTTGACCTCATGAACAAGTAAGAGCGCACACAGTGATTTTAATTCAATTTTATATTTACCAGAAATATTTCTGTTTTTAATTACATGTAAAGTTTTCTTCACCAGTTCAATTTGCAAGAAGCCGGTAATCAAACCTTTATAATGTAATGCACTTTTGCTTGAATACGATTTTATATGATGCCAAACATTTCCTGATTGGTTAGTGTCAGTGTAAGACTGTCACAGGTCATTGTGAGCAGCTCATCTCTGTCATCCAGCGAGCTAACATTACACTGGTGATAAATGCGCTAAATTGTAGAATATTTCACAGAAAATCAAACCTTTGCGAGGTATGAAAGCATGAGTGGCAGTTGAGCAACAAGTGGCCGTCCTGTTATCTGGCCTGAAACTCATTATTATGCACAGACGGAAAGTGTCTGTGTTTTGGTTGCCGTTGTTTTTCTGAAGTACTGCATCAGTGCAGAAACAGCTGCTTCACATTATGAAACACTGGAGCTAAAAACAAAAGGCTCAGAACAGTGATACGTTATAAATGTGACTGAAAGCTTTTGAAGGTGTTGTGAAGTACCAGTAAATGCGTCCCTGTGACCACATGTGTCTTTTATGAGGGTTAGGCACCAAATAGGATCACATGACTTTTATGTAATGGTATTATGTAAAATGTAAATAAAATATTGTTTAATTATTTTTTTAACTGCAGTTGGTTGGACAGACACATTTAACATTTGTTCTGGAAACCTGAAGCATTTCTGGATCTTTACAAACCTTGTCATTGAGCATCAGCAGCAGTGTGATCGAGTGTGAATCATTCATTTGGAAATAAACAGCCATCGATCTGAACGTCGCTACGAGATGTTTGTTCATTTTCAGATGTCTCTGACTGTCAGTTTCTTTCTCAAGTTGAAATCCCTGAAGGGGTTCTTGTTTCCAGAGTTTAAGAGGCCCTGCTGTAAGGGATGCTAATGCACACAGACGGCCCTGAAAGGTCACGTCCCATCACAGCCTGACTGCAAATACCACATTCATATGAGAGAGCAGCGGAGGGAATGGGACACAGGGAGGAGTACAAAGACTTTTAAGACTCAGATTTGTAGAAATGTAGCATTGCATCAGTGTATCAGCAATGGATGCTCTGCAGTGAATGGGTGCCGTCAGAATGAGAGTCCAAACAGCTGATAAAAACATCACAATAATCCACAAGTAATCCACAGCACTCCAGTCCATCAGTTCACATCTGGAGAAGACAAAAGCTGAGACAAATCCAGCATTAAGATGATTTTAGCTAAAATACATTGAGTCCATAATCCATAATAATGCTTCCTCCAGTGAAAAAGTGGTCTGGTGTGAATCAGGAGAGAAATCTGCACAGATCAAGCAGCGTTTACATGGGGACATGGCTGTAATGGAGATAATGAAAATATCTGAAGACTGATATAAAATGAATTTTAAAAGTATGACATTAAAGCATGAACACATGATTAGAACACTGTTAGATTATGATTATGCCTGTTCTATGACACATCCTATGATATTGATCAGGGCCCGTATTCACAGAACATTTTATCTTACCACTAAAGTTCTCCTAAATAGCAGTAAAGTTTTTAACTACGGGTTTTCTCTTGAAACCTATTCACAAAGCTGCTGAGACTAACTTGTACTAAGGAATAGAGAGAAGTCTTAAGCTCAGAGTAAGGGGGCGGGGTTTACCTCGTTGCTATGGATGATGTCAGCGTGCTTATTAACTATGCACACAGTGATTGGCTGATAGTCTCTGTCAGAGATTTATTCATAGAAATATTGTAGAGCGCGATATTATGTTGCCATATTTAAATAAAGGTTCAAAAATAAAAATGTTAATTGCCACATTCAAAACATTAAAACATTCAAATTTTAAAATGCATGCTAAAGGTCATTGCACACTGAGTCCGAAATTTTCGCACGTTAAAAAATAAATATGACCTCATGTTGTGTCAATCACGTTTACACACTGCCTCCGAAACTTTCATCCGTCATAAAAAAAATTGGATCAAGTTCGATTTTCTGCGTTTTCGCATCCGTAGCATGCATTTTGATAGGAAAGGATGACGAATATGAAAAAAACGGAAAAACGCATGCGAAAATTTCGGACTCAGTGTGCAAGGACCTTAAGAGTCACTAATTAAACAAGAATATGTCCAGCTAATTGTCAGCCTCCTACATGTATGCTTCTCATAATTAGTGAATATGCATATAAACAGCCTTTTAATTAACAGAGTAGAATAATCATGGCTTGATAGTAAGACATGCAAACGTAAAAGAAAACCAAACTGGACTCAAGAAGAGCTGTTACTTCTCGCCCAGCTGCTTAATGATAACGAGGATATAATCAAAGGAAAATCTGGAGTTGGGGTAACCTCCAAAACCAAAGGTGATACCTTTTTAAAAGCTCGTTATCATCAAATGTTTGCGTTCAGAGACAGATTGCCAGCAACAGCTATTTTAGGATAGTTTGTGGCGTGGTCTTAGTGACTTAGGAGTCCTCTTCACTGCTCCTAACCTTTCACAGATTTAGGAGCTAGTTTTAGAGCTAAAACGCTTTGTGAAATACTCTTAGAGCAAACATTTAGGAGTCCTGAATTTAGGACTGACACGCCCATTATTTTTAAGATTTTCTCCTAAATCGACGAGTTATGAGCTACTTTTTGCCTGAAGATGTTTTGTGAATACGGGCCCAGATAACATAACAGACGTAACATTACAACTTGTATCTGCACAAAAGGATGCAAATGCCAGTGAACTTTGTTACGCGCTATAGCGAGAGAGAGAGAGAGCTCCCTCTATGATGCACATTCATTACAGCGCGCTGAAACACGGGCAATGAAAGCAGACAGAATTTACTATAGATTTCACATTCTATAAAGTTCTCATTATAATGCTATGTTTATGGCAGATTTGTGCTATATTTTCATTGACATTATCAAGTGATTCCTGAAATCGCCTGCGCGTTTTCGAAGCCATACGAAGTACAAAAACAATTGTAATTGAAGTATGCCTGCTGTTGAACAAATATGACGGGAAAAAAGCACTGCTGCATTATTATAACATCAGTATTTTTAAAAAAGAAACATCTAAAGCAATATGACCATCTCAAATAACTCAGTCAATGATCGGGCAGTGCATTTGAGAATGAAACTAAACACTGGTAATATGCAGCGCATTCAGCATGTTAATAAATGTTAATATCTCAACGCCTCCTATGTTAGATTAATCAGATATGTATGTAGCTAACCCAGACATCACTGCGTGACTTCGAAGCCATGCTTCTCTCTCTTCTCACGTCTATGCTTTGGACCGCATGCTGTGGCCAGCTAAACAATCAGAGCTCAGGGTGCCGCCCAAAGTGCTGCTATAAACAATCAGGGGAAAAAATGATCAATCGTCACTGTCACGGCCGAGTACTCGATCACTGTTGCACATCCCTAAACCCTTTAACCTCACACCTTCGATTACAGTTCCTGCAGTGACACGAGACATTGACTGACAGCAGCGGTTTTCACATCAGTTTTTCTTACATGTCTGCTTTCTGTCCCAGGTTTCTGACATACTGCCCTGCCAAGCGGATCAGTGCCGATGAAGCACTTAAACACGAGTATTTCCGGGAGTCGCCGCTCCCCATCGAGCCCTCCATGTTCCCCACATGGCCGGCCAAGAGCGAACAGCAGCGGGTCAAGAGAGGAACGAGCCCGCGACCGCCGGAGGGAGGACAGGACTTCAGCCAGCTGGTACAGACATTCTTTCTACGTGAAATCAAAACCAACTCTGCTGCCTTGAATGCATGTTCCTGAATGATTGAGCAGTGTGTGTTATTGACTTTATTCATCTTGACCTTGGTCTCTGTTGACCAAGAGGAGGATCAATTCAGCTGCTCTTTGTCTTCCTAAAACTCCTGGTTATTGTTTCTCATTCTCATCTCTCTGTTGTTCTCTTCAGGGTGATGATGATCTTAAAGATACTGGTTTCCATTTGACCACTGCTAACCAGGGCGCCTCCAAAGCCGGTCCAGGATTCAGCTTGAAGTTCTGAGCTCCAGCGGCCAGCAGGCTTTCTTTGCGTGTGTCTGACACGATGCTGAGACTCATTTAGAGAACGAGCATCAGAGAGCAGTTTGCTGAACCTCACTGGGACACACAGACTGGGGAAGTTTTTTACGAGCACAGAGGACCTCCATGAAGTTCAAGTGCTTTAAATTCCTCCCGTTCATCTGAAATATAATGCGTTGGTTTGTTTTGCTTGGTTTCCTTGTTCTTTTGTCCAATCTAAAAACAAGCAGCAGATCAGCATTTTCAGACCTCTTTTATTTTTTCCTCTTCATTTGCAGTTGTAGTTGGGAGTAAGATGTTGAAAACCCATTTTAGTGACATCAAATGAATATTAAAATAAATCCATTTTAAAAACGTTGATACCATGGTATGTCTGAATACTAGATTCTGCTTGGCTGGAAGGTGTGCATTAAAGTCACTGAATTTGTCACTGTTTGTAGTGATTTTACTTTTGCCCACCCAGGGAGGGGAGATAATGTAGTGATGGGTACTAACGTCACCGATGCCACTTTAGGTATGGTTATAAGTACGGCTGCACGATAAATCGAAATTAAATCGCAATCGCGATTAGGCAAAAGCTGTGATTGCCATGCGTATCTTGTCAGTGAAGCACGGTTCTGTGATCAGTAGTAAATCTCCATCAGAAGGCCAGAGAAACTCAAAATACGCCCCACAGAAGAAACCCAGGAAATCACTATAGTGGTAGCTGAATAAACACAAGATTTAACTGCTTTCATTGATTCAGCGTGACTAATAAGCACATGACTACGACAATATATGGTTTATCTTCGTTCTTAATATTATAATTTTCATTATAATAAAGTATATAATAATGCAATGCTAATCGACATAGCCTTTATCACTGCTTAGAATACTATGAAATATGTTGCATGCCTTATTCTGTGTAAGAAGCCATATAATCTCACAGAAGGATTTATTTCAAACACTCGACTGACGTTATGAAGTGAGTTTGGAGTAAAAACATCTTATTAAATGTGGTATTTTCACATGCTTTCAGATGGAGCAGCATTTACTATACAGAGCCGTAGTTCACTGAGAAGCTACGCAAACAGCTGTCATTATCGCAAATAAATCATCTGTGTTTTTTTGTGTGTAGCTTGTCAGTGAACTACGGTTCTGTGTAGTAAATGCACGTGATGGTGATTTACTACTGATCACAGAACTGGCTTTACTGACAAGATGCTCATGACAATCACATTCGATTAATCATGCAGCCCTATTTATAAGTACATCAGATGAGCACTTCCCCCTCTCTTAGTTTGGGGCTAGGTCAAGCCGCGCTTTTTCTGTTATCCTGGCTTTCTTAATTCTACGTTTGAGCAACGCCCCTCAGGACTTTTACCTTGTTGATATGAGAACACTCCCAACAATAATTTAGAAACTAAAGGGAATTGGTCAACTGATTTATCTGAAAGATTAGTGGGATATCTAACTTGTAGAACCTCTTACTGTATTATCAACACAAGGAAGATAGGTGTAATAAAATTTCATCAACAAAATATAAACAAGAGTAATCAACAACCACTAAATGAATACCATGAGAGAAAAAGGAATAAAATGCAAGTGATGAAGTTTGCTATGGCAGAGTTATGTTATCTTGTGGACAGATAAACTGTTGCTTCTCTGAAACTTCACGTGTAGGATGCTGATCTTCTGGAGCACCAAAGGGTCCTAACATCTGGAACACACAGATGTGGCCCTGGAGTAGGTGCAGAAGGTCCTTGATCTGGAATAAACAGATGAAAATATCTTGAAGTGAAGGTTTGCCCGCCAGAGCTTAATCTTGTCACGAATGTCTGTATAACTGTGGTTGTCTCGCTGGATGAAGACTTTGAGCGTAGGGTATCTGTTATTGCCTCTTTCCTCATGGGCTGCAGGCTCAGAAATTGGTCATATCTGTTGCTGCTTCCAAAAGAGGCTCAGAGCTTTATCTGTTGACCTCTCCCTCACTGGCCAGAGACTCAGAACTGGGTGTTACTGTTAGTGTCTCACCTTCACAGGGGCAGTCGTGGCCTAATGGTTAGAGAGTCGGACTTGTAACCCGAAGGTTGTGGGTTTGAGTCTCAGGTCCGGCAGGGGTTGTAGGTGGAGGGAGTGAATGGCCAGTGCTCTCTCCCACCTTCAATACCACGATAGGCCCTTGAGCAAGAACCGAACCCCCAGCTGCTCCCCGGGCGCTGCAGCAAAAATGGCTGCCCACTGCTCCAAGTGTGTGTTCACTGTGTGTGTGTTCACTTGGGTTAAATGCAGAGCACAAATTCTGAGTATGGGTCACCATACTTGGCCTCACTTCACTTTCACTTATACACTTGGTGATCTGCTATTGCCTCCTACCACACAGGCTGGAGACTCAGAACAAGGAGTGTCTGTTGAAACGGTACTTTTATCCCTTTACGATGAGGAGGAGAATACAATTTTGTGTTTCACCATTTGCATGCTATGATTGGCTGTTTTTATCAGAGCAGGGGACACAGTGTGGCCCACCTTTCTTTTCTCCTGTGGAACTTATTTGCATAGTCCAAACACACAATTACGTCACTGAAAAAAGTGTCACTGAAGTTTCACCGGTGCATTTCTCACTTTCCAAACCACAACCAGAAGACCTTTGGCAATATTCTAAACAAATAAAGATCAGTTGTGATGGGGAAATACCTTAACTGTCACGCATACTTTCATTTGACCGCTACACATAGCTGTTGTTGAGAATACTTATTCTTCTGAGTAAGTATGAAATGGGTGTTTTGGGGTTCATGAAAACATAGTTATGAATGGATTTGGATGGATCTCTGTGATCTCTTCGTTTCATCCACTGCTGCTGCATCCGGAGATCCTAAGGATCATTTTTGTCAGTCACGGGCCAAAACCTTAGGAATCAGTCTCTAGATGGGTGAAGGGCAGAAACTTCATGTGGACCAATGGGAAATCCTGTCCTTCCCGGTCTTGGTACCAGTGGTATTCTTCTTGCCCTCTAAGAGGTGTCTGGCCATTGTCCTAGCATTGTCCTAGTTTGCTTATGTTAGTCCACCAAGATCCAATCAAAAACCTTCCACTGTTGTGGTCAGAGAGGGGCCCCTCCATAAACTGTGTCCTGAAATGTACTGTTCACCACAAGTTCAATCAGTTTAATTAGCGTTCTGAATAAATGCGCTATAAGGAAGATAATCCATGGCTGGTTTTGTATTACACTATTGAATTGCACTAATCTTCGCATCAAGTGGTTCTTTGTCCTTATTTAAGTCCATATTCACTAATAATCTTCCCCTCTGCCAAAATTTTGGAACTGACTGCAAAAGTCATATGTACTACAAAAAAATGCTGCATAAATGCAAAAGTTCATTGGTTCTCACATATCTTAAACAAATGTTTTGAAAGCCACAGTAGAGGAGATGAATATCAAGGAATAATGGTGTAAATTTTGGGCTTGAGCTCTTATATGACATTTACATTTATTAATTTAGCAGACGCCGTTATCCAAGGTGACTTCCAAATGAGGAAGACAGCAGACAATTTATTATAAGCACCAGCAATACAAGTTTCAGAAATTGTTTAGAACAGTACAGGCAAAAAAAATAGGTACATAGAATTTTATTTATTTTATTTTTTTTGGGCGTGAAAAAGTCAGTAGGATGCCGTTAAGTGCTCATGGAAGAGATGAGTGTTCAGCCGTTTCTTGAATATTGTAAGGAATTTGGAGTTCCAGATGGAGGTGGGAAGATCATTCCACCAGCCAGGAACAGTGAACGAAAACATTCTGGAATGTGATTTTGCGCCTCTCTGTGATGGCACCACGAGGCATCGCTCACTAGCGGATCTCAGACTTCTGGAGGGGATGTAGATTCATAATAGCGAGTAGAAGTAGGCGGGTGCTGAGCCTGTGGCTGTTCTGTATGCAAGCATCAATGTCTTGAACTTGATGCGAGCCGCAACCGGTAGCCAGTGCAAGGAGATAAAGAGAGGTGTAACATGGGCTCTTTTGGGATCGTTGAAAACTAGTCTAGAAATGACAAGGGTCTAGATGAAAAGTTTTGTAGCATGCACCATTACGAAGGGCCTAATCTTCCTGATGTTGTGCAATGCAAACCAGCATGATTGAGCCGTCTTTGCAATGTGGTCTTTGAATAGTCTCCGCCTCAGACATCATGCCCACGGACCGTTGGCTGAACATCTGATGCATATGGCACACTTTACTGGAAACACTTCAGGAGTTTCGAAGTCGTCATTGTATTGGTTGAATTATACAGGATTTCTGGGATATGTGTCGCGTTCTTTATCGTTCTACCTGGAAAAAAAAAATGCCGTGATGCCAAACCCCATCATGGAAGAAGAAAGCTGTCCTCTCTGGTGGGCCTTGGCCATTCAAAGCGGACTTTCAAAGACTAGTGTTGTGTTGCCAGACCTTCAGACTGACGGCAGAAGGTCTGGCTACACAACACTAGTCTTTGAAAGTCTGCTGGTCATCGAAGATTACACCAAGATTTCTGACCAGACTTGATGGGGTAGTTGTGGATGAGCCTAGCTGGATGGTGACGTCATGCTGTAGAGTCATAGTGGAAGGGAAGACGAGAAGCTCAGTCTTTGCCAGGTTGAGTTGTAGGTGATGTTCTTTCATCCATGCTGAGATGTCTGCCAGGCAGCCTGAGATCCGTGCAGCTACCGTTGGATCATCTGGTTGAAATGAGAGATAGAGCTGTGTGTCATCAGCATAGCAATGCTAGGAGAAACCATGTGCCTGTATGATGAGTCCCAGTGATGTAGTGTATATGGAGAAGTGGAAGGGTCCAAGAACGGATCCCTGAGGAACCCCCGTGACCAGATGATATTCTTTGGATACCTCCCCTCTCCAGGACACCCTGAAAGACCTACCTGTGAGATAAGATTCAAACGAGAGAAGTGGAGTACCTGTGATTCCCAATGATGAGAGGGTGGACAGAAGGATCTGATGGTTGATGGTGTTGAAACCTGCAGACAGATCTAATTAATGATTTGGAATCAGCTTTCGCAATCAGCAGGGCTTCAGTGACTGAAGGTAATGCAGTCTCAGTTGAGTGGCAACTTTTTTTTTTAAATTGTGACTGGTTAATGTCCAGCTGGTCATTCTGAGAAAAGATAGATGATACCTGGTTGAAAGCAACTTACTCAAGGGTTTTTGCTACGAATGGGAAAAGAGACAGGTCTGTAACTTTCTACTTCTGAGGTGTATAATGTGGGTTTTTTGAGCAGTAGGGTTACCTGAGGTTGCTTGAAAGCGTTGGGGAAAGTGCCTGTGAGGAGAGATGTGTTGATGATATGTGTGAGTGCAGGTAAAAGTGTAGGAGAGATTGCTTGCAGAAGGTGTGG